ACATACATAATATACTTAATTATACATTACATATTTATTTTATTGCTGCTTTGTTTTAGCCATAGATACCAACTTTGAAAATAAAAGCCAAAATGTTTATTTATTATATTAGGCAACTTTAAAAAGTCTGCTAATAAATGACATAATTTATACTGCATATTCAAATTATTGAACTAATTAGACACAATATTGATATAAAGTATAGTAAGTTGGCATTTACTACTTTATTTCACATCACTGTTGCAAGTTAATATGTTAGCACTTAACTCATTAATTTTTCATTTTAACTTACATTTTTTTGGTTAACTGTGTTTGATTTTATAATTTTCTTAAAATTTCATATTGATGAAAATCCAAATAAAAAAAGGTAAACTTTTTAAAGTGCTTTTGTGCTCAATGGAAATAAAATAAATATGCACAAAATTGTATAAGTAAACTTAATAATTCATCTTTTCTTAATATTTAAAGGAAACTGAAATATAAATATTTATCTATTAAATACAAGCAGAAAAATTAACGAACATTACTTATTAATGATTAATAAAGTCTTTATAAAATATTGTAAACCAATATAATAGATTAAAACATTTTAGATAAAATTTTTAAAAAAATACTGGGAAAAAATGAATTTACATAATTTGGGAATTTTAAAGATGATATAATCATTTCTCTAGCCATTTTTTAAAGAATTTGTTATCAAAATAGTTTTCATGATATTTTCTTTCCTTTCAATATATGAGCAAGCAACAATGGCAGAACTACAGCTATCGAGGCCTGGGGTGGAAGTCTTCCTAAAGTCCCCCTTATTGGAATGATCACCATACAGAATGTCAGCACAAATATATAATTTAATTGATTTGGAAAACAAGAAATCTTAAGATTAAAGAATAGCTTACATCTAATAAATAAACATATATTTAAAAAAGTGTAACTTTTCTGTCAATAAAAAAAGGTAAAACTGATTTTTTGCAAGCTTTGTTTTCTGAAAATTTTTTTTAGAGATCATTAAAATTAATGTTTTTAACTAATGCATTTTCAGTGGCAAAGATTGCCATTGTCTTACTATTGATTGAAGACAGCTTCTAACCAGCTTGAACTTTGCAAAACTGTTGAAGCAATTGAAACATACACTGTCAAAAAAGATTGTAGAGATTCAGTTGATAGGTTAACTACAAAATACTCTGAAATCACCAGTTTGAAGAAGAAAAATACTAAAAATTGTATATCTTCAAAGGATACTCCTTGTTTATTATTATTTTTTTTAATGATTTTTGCTCCTTAAAAGTCTAATTTTGGCCAAAATATATGGTCCTTAATTATGCTCATCCGAAATGCCCATCTTTTTTGTGTGTGTGACTGTCTTTTTGAGTGTGAAATGATATTTTGGATGAATACAGATTTGAAAGAAAGCCATCTCAGACTGGATTTGTAAACAATAAGGAACAATCACCCACCCTAGAAAGGTTTTAGGGTATATGATTTGTTGCTCACCTAACCTTTCAAAACAAATATTATAAACAAGAATACTGTCTGTATACTTGAAAAATAATTTTTGGACTCAAGTCTTGACTACTGTGATAAAAGGTAACAATCATTCAAGAAAGTCTAAAAATTATGCCAGTTTGGATAAATTTTGTTTGTATTGTCATGTCTGACGATTTTAAAATCAATTTTGTCTAAAAAATTTTGATTAGTGAATTCCTTGATTTTTGAATAATTATGACATTGTTAAAACAATGACAATAAATTTAAATTATGTTTTGGAGAAAATATTTTTATATCCATCATGTTTTAATATGTGGATCTTTTTTTTTTGGCAATTTTTTAATATCTTGATTCTAAAATTTATACGAGATAAACGTTTTTGAATTACCTATTAGCAAAAATGCGATTAGCTATTATGATTATGTAAAAAAAAAACTTTTTTTTTATGGTAACAGTTTTTTTGTGTGTGTAATCCTTTTAAAATATTCAGATATATACTAGCATTCTCTATAAAATTCATTTTACATTTTTTAAAATTAAATTGACCAATTTTTTATTCTCATAAAGCAGGCAAGTATTTTACTGGCTAAAAATGCCCTGACAAAGTGAAAAATGTATCAATGGTAATATTAATACAGAACAGACAGAGTTTCTCATACTGTTTGGAGAAATTTTGGGGAAATGTGTTCATTATGGTTCCTGTTATTTAGAGTAATAAGAGCCCTCATGTTAATGGTCTGTGACAAAGCTGCAAGCCTACTCGGATCTATTTTCATGACAGGTGGGCTATAAGCAAGTGTGGTCAACAGTGCCTTGTCACTTGGCTACCAAATTGTGAAAGAGCTCCAAGTAATCTTGTTGCTTTGGTGCAGTTCAATTACAAGAGAGCTATTGCTATAATTTAGTTTTGGTTTGGCTTGTTTGATTATGGAAATACACATATGGGCTATCTGCCTAAGGGAAGGGATACCTTCATGGAGGACTAGCTTAGGAAAACTGGTATTAACATTATGTATGGGGAAAACCATGAAAATGTTCATGCTGCTAGCCCGTTTGCCAGAATTTGAACTTGAATGCCCAGTTGCTAGCATTTCGTGTAAAGTATACTTAAAAGTCAATAAATAAAAAATAAATGAATGCATAATTTTTATCGAAGGATGAAATGCACTTCACTCCCATTACTGAATTTAATACATATTGTTTCCAATTCTTCTATGATAAATTTCAGTGAATAAACAATATATCCAAATTGTAAGATTTATATATGGATTGCCAGCAAAGCAAAAGAGATTTCTTCATGCACAAAATAAATATGGACCTTTTTTTTTTTTTTTTTTTTCTTTTTTTCTTTTTAAATTCTCTATAGAGGTAAGCCCTGCCATAAGCAGATAACCCTACTATACAATTTCTTTATTAAGTTATCCTAAAATTTATAGGTTGGTGTGCTATGTAATGATTTTCTGCCTTTATCAGATAGAAACACTCTGAATTTTGAATAAAGGTGGCATGAAATTATTAAAAGGACAACAATATTTTAAAATCATGTCAGAGTGTACAAGTTCCTAAGAACTATAATCAACAGAATGCATCAAATCAAATGCCACACACACAAACAATCAAAAATTACAAATGGAAGAAACTGGGAGTTGAACAGTCTCTCTCGTATCATTATGAATTAAATTCTGATATCATCAAAATACTACATGGATACAATGATTTAAATAGAAACAAGGTGTGTGTGCATGTACATAAGAAGATACTAAATGTCCAGTTTACAATCACAGATTTACTTTTAATAGACCTGTATTTGGCATTCATTTCAGCTTCTCAGTTTTTTCCAGATGTCATCTGTATCTCTACAAAAGCTTAAAAGTATAATAATAACATATCTTGGAATACGACTTCTGCATACTTTATGTAAGTATCTACATATTAATTTTCATGATATTTATATTTTCAGGTACAAATTTTTTCGCATATACATAGAGAGAGAACCTGATGCAAAAAGCACTCAAAATGACAATTATCAAGAACATAAGTTGCTTTAGAGTAGGGGTTTTTAACCTTTCATACCCGGAAGCCACATCAATAAATTCACAAAGATACACAAGCCATGTGTTTGCAGTCAGAAAACGTATATAAAAAAGGAGGTTAGTTTTGCAAAACTACATTTGATTCTAAGCAAAGAGATAGTGTTACAGATTTGTATATGTATACATTGGCTTCAAAAAGTCAAACGGAAATCGAATTAAAATGTTTTGCAACTTTTTTTCAACTATGAAAAAAATAAAAGTATAAAGATGACTGTACAGAACGATGTTCCAAAATGCATTTACAATAAAAAAAAAATAATGAAAAAACTAACATTACTGGCAGGAGATGGTAATTACTTTAGTTTCAATGTGAAATCTGACATTGTTTTTGCTTGATTAAAGCTTCAATATCCGGTTTAATCTGTGTTGTTGCAATTCATAAAAGTTTCCTCCAAATGTCTGTCTGTCAGCTGAGTTCTTGTTTTTGATTTTAGGATTTTTATTTCACTAAAATGATGTCACATATGTAAGCTCTGCCAAAGAAAGAAGACACGAAGAGTGCATGTTTACGAATTGCTGGATACTGGTCTTCGCTCGCGTACTTCGAATAAAAATCAATTAATTAATCAATAGAGGATTTTCAAGAAACTTTCATTTTACTGCAGAATCACACTGTAAATCTATAAATTCTAATTATATACATAAGATAAAGTGAAATTTTTGAAAAATTCATCATTTTCAGAAAACTTTATCCCACATAATACCAGGCATGTCAATAAAATGTTTTAAATATCAAGAATAAGAGAGAAAAAAAAAATTTACAACAAAAAGCTGATAAGGCAATTTTTCTTGAAATCAAAATTTCTTTAAAATTTTTCAATTTTTCTTCAAATTCAAATGTGGCCACTAAAATACCTTAAACGGGCCACGGGTTGAAGACCCCTACCTTAGAGAGTCTAATTCACACAAAATCCAACATAGTAGTTGGCTATTGTATTGGTATGATGTTCAAAGCTTCTAATTGAACTTTGATTAACTCTAAGAATAAAGATGCCTCCAAATGAATTTCTTTAATTTAATTGCTTGTTACCAGTTTATTAAAATGGAAGATTATAAAAATGAAATGTGGAATAAAAGGTTGGATTCAGCCAGTGTGGCAGAAAAGATTGTTAAAATATTTTTAATTTGGTGAATCGAGTTCTAATAATTTTCTAAATAATTTATAATTGTTTAGTAGCAATTTTATTGCTCATTTAGACAATGAATTCGCTCTTAAATTGTTTCAATCCTATCATTTCATGGAATCATTAAAATGCAAACCTTATCGACTAGAGGTGTGTATAAAAGCTTGTGTAAGTTGCCGAATCTTGTCCAAAAAACCTCTTAAGAACTACTCTTATATTAACCAAAAAAAAAAAAAAAAAAAAAAAGTTAAAAAGCCTACATCATACTTTTTGTTGAAATGTACATTTAACACGCATATACTGAAAAAATTAATTTTTATTTCAAGCAAATTGGAAATTCAGTTGTCTCAAGATTTCAATCCACTTGATTTACAAGCATCTCAAAACATTAACATGGATGTTTAAATGTTATTTATTTTACAGATGAAAATATAAATTAGTAAAAGGAATATATATGATAAAATCGATATATAAAGATTATTTACAGTAAATATTCCTATGACTACAACCAGTGCTAAGAATCATCATTACGTCTTGGAGGTCTTAAAGTGTTTCTTCTGACACATTGCACAACCCATTCTATACCTTCATGAACTCCATCCCTAGAAAGATGAATAAAATTTTTGTATATAATAAAAAAAATATAGATGTGTAAAAAGATGTTTAAAAAATACCGAGTGCAGGGTTTGATTTACTGCCCAATGATTTTTAATAATAAAACTCTTTTTTCTATCTAATAAATGGGCATAAAATTCTGGACTGGAATACTTGACAATATATCCAATACAAATACAATTGAAAATATATTTCTGAAAATTAATTTTAATAATTTCATACTTTTTTAAATTTTGATCAAATTTTTAACATTTACAAATGTATTACCACTTCTTGCAAATTTTAATGATAGATTATGGATGACATTTACAGAACAATTAAAAAATCTCATAATAATACATTTAATGTTGTATTTATCCATTTTCCCCCAATAAATTATTTATCAGTATTGCATATAATGCTTTAAGATGAAAATTTTATATTTAACATATTTATCACGTTTGACCTGAACTTTAATAAAACACTCTTTGAAAGAAATATGCAGCAAAACCAAATGATTCTCTATTTTACTAAAAAATAATTTAAATCATCAAGAAGTACATTTACTAGTTTCAAATCACTATATTATAATTACTGCTCCCCCTAAACTCACATTTGGCTATCCTTCAAAATTAGTACAGACTTAAAAGAACCAGCCCCTCCCCCTAGCACATTGTAATTGCACTCTATCCATTATCATCTCCACTGCAGCCAATAGCCAGCCTCCCCTGGTAGCAACAAGAAACTTACTTCATTATTCTTGCCTCTCCCTCTTATTGCAGTCGCCAGTACAGCACTCAGCTCCACTCTATGGGATTATATATCTGAACGATAGACTCTTCTTCACCATCTTCTCCATCTACACTCTTTAGGACTTTGCCATACTACAAATTTTCTGACTGCCAAATTAGTTTCCTCAAGACTTTGCCATTTTCCAAATTGCTCCATCATTACGAAATTGGCTACACAGCTATATCATTTCAACTTTCTTACCACACTGCCATGCCTAGCCAATGTTCAGAAACTGAACGACCTCATTACACTGGGATAAGGCCTTGCCCATGCACTCAAGGAAACTGAACTTGTTCACCGAAGAAATAAGTTTATTAAGCAATCACGGATTGATCAAATTAAAAAAATAAATTAAAGATCTTATTTTTTACTAAATATCAACATTCTGGTTATTATACAAACTACTATCTGACTAAAATGGAAGATAAATTAAAATTTCCTGCTTAATTCAATAGCAATTCTTGCTAAGATGCATGCATGGTAATGATACTTATATTGTAATAGTTAAAAAAACTTTCTAAGATTGTAAAATGAATATTTTACTGCATGTCTCAGCAAATCTTCAATCATTTGCAGATACCAAGAAAACATAAATCAATTTCAGTAATGGTTACAAGATATCTTACAAATACAAGATTTTTTTCATAAAAAAATTTAATTATATTTAAGTAGTTACAATAATTTTACTATCATTTTTTCCTTAAAATTAGATACATTTTAGATCAGGGGTTCACAACCTTATTCTCTACAGCAGCGGACAAACGTTAAACGATCGGCAGAGGCTATGGTGTCAACCCTATGCCCGTTGGCACCATAGCCTCTGCCAATAGTTTAACGTTTGTCCGCTGCTGTGAGATCACAATAAAATTGTTTTAGTTTTCAATAAAATTCTAAGTGAAAGTTTTCTCATTTTTAATGACATAGAAATTCTGTCCAACACAGATACCAGCATAAAGCGAAATGTGACTGATCTCTCTCTCTCTCTCTCTCTTTTTTTTTTTTTTATGTGCATGTATTATTAATGCTAACTGTAAATTCACCTTTAAAAAGTAATTGGCACCCGCCGTAGAACAGATATTCTAGAATGTGTTGTTAGGAAGAGTGACATATCAACTCTTGCTAAAGCCAATTTAAACTGGATATTTTGTCATTTGCATATAAAAATGACAGAGTTATTTTCATTTACTGAGAAGACACTGTACAAAGAAATTTGCTTCAAGATAGAACAACATGGCACCATTAAATTTTGTTACAAATTAGATAAATCTGCTACCAAAACATTTGAGATAATTCAAACAATTTATGATGATGCATCGTTATCAAAAACATAAGACATATGAGTGAAACAACCACTTTAAATTTGGGTGCAAAAGCATTCAAAACAAACTAAAAAGGTGCCCTTCAACTTTAAAGAATGAGGAAATAGAAAATATTTGCTCTTCGGTAAAAGCTGAAAGACATATAACAACTCAGCAACTTTCAGACATACTTGAAATAAGCAAAGAAAGCTGTAGGTTAATTTTAATTGAAAATGAAGGAAGTTTGTGCCCAAATTTGTGACCTAGATTTTGACAGAACAAAATGAGAAAAGCTTGCTGCGAAGATTTACTGACTACTGTGACACAAGACAAGTTGTTAAGTGTATCGTTGCGGCAGATGAGACTTGGTGTCTACGATACGATCCAGAAACAAAAAGACAAAGTGCACAGTAAAAAAGACGACTGTCTTTTCCCATACAATAATAATCTCATACAATTTTTCCTCGTTCAAAACAGTAACACTATTACTTATATTTCCGTCTGCCACGCTGCCTAAAAGCACAAGCTTTTCAATTAAATCATGTATGGTATCATAGTGAAAAGCAAACAGTATCTGGAAACTGTATAAAGAATGATTTAATTAACTAATAATAACTGGCTGGAATGTGACTTGCGATGCCCTTTTTATTGCATCCGTGTGACAGAGGTCTCTCTTGAATCAAAGATAGAAAACTAGCCTCATTTATGTTATGTATCAGATATTTTCATGACAATTATAGTTGCCAATCTTGAAATATGAAACTTGGGAGTTTCTCAAAGGTCTTCATTGTCATTTCAAAAAAATTCCAAACTGTTTTACATTCACTTTGTGATGCATGTTTCAGGTTACTGAATATTTTTAACACAATTCTGGTGTAAAATGTATTAATATTTAATTACGTATTTGAATTTTATGTTCTTTAGCTGATTTCATTTTGTAATTATCTTTAATACAAATATTAACTAATTTTAATTAAACATGGGCTGAATTTTTATAAAAAGTTCTACTAACATCTACAGTAGATTAAGACAACTCAAATCAAATAAAATTTAATAAAAAATATTATGCTGAAAATCACAAAGGGTTGGGTGACAGCAATTGGCACAATTTAAGTTTAATTAATTTAATAAATTTAATTTACAACTAGGAAATATGACATAAAAGTGAATTTCAATATTTTTCTCAAAATGTAAGTTTTAATAGTTTTCTCACAATAGCAAGTATCTACATCCACTACAGAGATAATTTATTTTCACACCTCTTGTAACTGATTTAAACCTTTTCATTGCCTGGCATCGGCAATATTTTTTCGTGTTATATGTCATAGAATTTGGTCGCTAGAATGAAGCTGACCTATAACTATTTCAATATTTATTTTTAATTGAACTGTGTTGTCAGATTATTATTAGATACATCTATATGGATATTTAGCTATGGAATGCTTGCGATTTGATTTGAGACAGGTAAGTGCATTTTTTATCTATACCTAAATTTGATCTTTGAAGTTTTTATATACGTATTTTGTACTGTCTTATTCAGTTACAAAGTTTCATTGTTCAAGTCCAGTAATTGCTGTGTTAAGAATTCCAACTTGTCAATCGAAATTTTTTGTTTCCAATAACCTCTCTGACCTTTTCTTCACTATCCGTAACGGTATTTTTTGGATTTAGAACCATACTACAGATTTTGTCATTCATTAATTGATTGATGATTGAGAAACATTGACATCATAATGAAAAACTTCTTTCATATAATCTTCATTTACTACCTCTTCTCCAAATTTCTTTACAAAATCCGTTAATTGGAAAATTTAACCTTTGCTTTGCGATATCCAAAAACCTTTAAAATTAGCGGCTATCATCATCAAATTTAGCTATCTTTACATATTTGGCTATGCATCACGAGCTTGGCGACTAACGACAAGTTGTTCCGTTAAATTTTATCTTGCTTCTATCGTGCACTGAGACAATTAAGCCTAAACTGTATTAGTTTAGTTATTTATTATACTTATGTCTATTTCTGGCACATGCTTGAGGCTTATCAGAGTTCTGAATAAATAATTTTCCACATATACTTAAGCCTTATTGAGGGCCAGCGCTAGGTATCTTACCGCCTGATGCTGTCTCTGTGGGTCCTAAATTTTGCGACTCGGTGCGGCCATACGAGCCCTAGTGCTGGTTCTGGGTTTATGTGAATAACAAATCAGTTATTCTTAATTCAAATAGCCCTAAATATAATCTTTGGGCCTATGAATATCATCAACAAAATCTATTTTTAACATATGGAAAGATATAATCATCATCATCATTTAATAAAGCATCATTATTGTTTGTATAATAAATAATGATCTGCGAGGTTGGGGCATCAGGGCTATAAAATATTAGTAGGTACAAAATCAACGATGTTTCCATCTAGAATGTTTTCGTTTGATATGTATGCCAAGGAGATATGCAGCTATGGAGCCAAATTATTGATCACACAAATTTATACTAAATTATTGTTTCTTCAATAACGTGGTATTTATTTAGTGCGGATGAAAAATTAAGAATCGGGACTCTCCATAAGTTTTATTTATGGGGGTTGAAATGAAATGCGCATGCGAAAAGCATTGAAAAAAAGTGTTTGGCAGTTTTGAGGTCAGGATTTCAGATCATTCTGGATATTGAACATTCGGATCTCAGACTTACTAGCTCAGACTTACATACTGTACTAGCTTTTCGAGATATTGAAATAATATATTTAGCTGAACAGTGTGCTTGGAAAGTAGCTTCCTAAGTATATAGATAATATAAAAAGAATTTAATGTATATAAAAATAGCAGTGCTTACAGAAATTCCTATAAATTTGCATATAGATTAATATTTTAAAAGATTGTTATCTGACAAAAATTAAGAGTCATGCAGTCCTAAAGTAATTAGAACAAAAAAGAACTGATTTCTTTAAAAGAAGAGAAATGTTCTTCTTTGGGAAATTTACTGCAAACTTAAAAATTAGGGTCTTAATTTAACATTTGGTATCACAATTATAATCATGAAGTAACTAAATGTATTTTTTTAATTATGAATAAAGATAAATATAAGAATAAATTTAATTTATCATCAACATTCTTAAAGTTCCGAAACGAAACATTATCACTGCTACTAAGAGTTCTCTTTAAAGTTCTTATCCTCGAAGGTACTGCTTTAATATTATAGTTTAAGAACTAAAAGAGACTATTAAAATAAACTAGAAAAATTTTTATAACTACAACAATAATTTATTCTATTCTTTTATTAAATAACATCTCCCCATTTTTTAATATTCAAACTAAGTATAATTAGCCTTAGCCATATAACATTAAATATAGCTTTTGAAGAACTTCACAATGATATTTTTTTTTTCACACACACAAATAAATGAAAATAAAAAAATAATACATAAATAAAATTTTCAGATTTACCACTGAAACATAAAGTAGAAAAGCTTGCTTTTGACTTGTGCCCTTTCATTTATGTGGGCTTTTATCAATATGGCCTTTTATCATTGTGCTTTCATCAATATGGGTATTTATCACATAGGCAATGTGGGTATTTATCACATAATCAGAGTGAGGTTATTTTTATGGGCTTTTGTTGTATGCTCTTTCACCCAGTGGGCTTTTATTTGGTCATCCCTAAAGACATATCATGAAAGTGAAAAAAGAGTGTACAGAAAAATATAAAATATACTATTAAAAGAATGTGATTATGATATGCATGACTGCAACAGCTAGTCTGATATTCACTGGTAAGCTATTATCAATGAAAATAAAATGGTGCCATTACTAACAAGTTACTGTCTGCAGAAATTAGAAGCATCAGTTAATGTTCAAGTTGCATTTCTTATACTATACACAAACATACTTTACACAGAATAATGCATCAAGATAATTTTACCCATGTAATGCTGAAGTGGCTAAAACATGGCAGTCTCTTCTTCCAATGAGATGCTTACTTTCCCGAAAAACTTCTTTTATCCTATTAACTGTCAAACATTTCTACAGGATAAAAAAAAAAAAAAAAAAAAGGAGAAAAAATGAAATAATAGATAATTTATAGTAATTATGAAATGTCTGATATTTTTTAATACTGATGATATCAATCTCTACAGCAATCAGAACACATTATATGGGCTTGATATAAATTACTTCTCTTATTCATTTATACCATATTATGAGCATAATTTTCCTAATACAAGCTCATGCTTAAAAAAGAATTTAAAAAACAAATAGAAAGTTAATGAAGAATTTAATATTATAATGGAAAAGCAGTAGCTTTCTTCCCTAATTTATTAACTCTGAAAATTACTTCAAATCTTTTATTTTAATATCATCGCAAACAGTGTGATATGTTAGCTGAAGTAACTGATAACTGATATGGCACATTAACTGAATAACTTGTACATATCAAAATATCTTCTTAATTAAGTAAAAGAATAAATGGCGAGAAAACCAACAAAACGTACATCATTATAAAAGTGGTCCTTTAAGGACCATTGTGCTAACAAGTAAGATTGCCATCACATGTTCTGATCAGAAGAATTAGAAGCTGACACAGTGTCAAAAACATTTTTGTCAGAGAGAGATATTGTAAAAATAAAACTAATTATACTGTAAGATCATCATCTTAATACTGAATGCATTTTCTATATATAGAACAGTTAGACATTTCTAAAGGAAATGAGTTATAACTAAACTAGTTTAAAGTGTTTACACTGTTTTAGATATAATCATATTTTCATTTTCAATCATAGAATTGACAAAAGCATGATTAAGACATTTTTGTTAAATTTACTTACAGGAATATCTTGCTTGTTAGCAACTAACAAAAGTGGAACTCCAATAAGGGCATGATTTGTAATCATTTTATCTAAAATTATTAAAAACAAAATCTTTACATACATATATTTATATATAAGAAACAATAGTTTATCATTAAACAAAGTGAATAAATACTACCATAAAAATTACTCGCTCAAAGAAATTCCTACCATAAAATAATAGTTGTTTATAGTTAATTACGTATTTTATGCAGCACAATTTATTTAGTACTGAAGTTTTCTTGGAATCATTTATTAATGCTTTTTTTTTTTTTTAATTTGCTAAGAACATAATCTACATTGCTGGATGCAAAGAATATTGAGACAGCATATGTTGGAGGTTGGAAAATTTAAAAGCACTTCACTGAAATTATTAGGCAGTAGAATAAATTTCAAGCTCAATATAAGCACAGCACTTGGATCCCTCAATTATAACCAAACTCTTAATTTACGAATATGTGTCAGTTTTATTCTGTTTTGAGCAGAGTGTACAAAAAGTATAGGAAATTTGTGTTCATTAGTACTTGCTGCATAATTGAAAATTGTTACGAAGATCTGCTATAAATGGAAGCAGCACAGATAATACGTACATGTATCAAGGTCACAATTTGTGTTTTACAAATAAGTATACTGTTATTGCCTTTCAATGCTCGTTGAGGAGTTTGTCTGAAATATCTACACTGTTTTTGTGTTTCATGACTCATGTGAGAGTGCGGGCATCATCTGTATCATGATGATTATGACTGCTGGAAGGTCACAGTTTTGTCCAATATCTTGCAAAAATTATCAATGATTTCTGAGCAAGCCTATAATTACAATTATGATGTGATACTTAATGCCAAGTCAAGAGTATAAGTGTCAAGATGGTGTGTGGTTTTCTAGTATGGTATGAGCAAAAATTTGAAAGGATTTCATTGAAATTTCAAAGTAGAAACTTATCAACATCAGCCAGGAGAAATTGAGTAAATAAACTGCAGTTCTGCTTCTTATTCAAGTTCATATCATAAAAAGACAATGAAGTATTTTGATTTCTCAGTTATGATCAAACTTGTATCTAATGAATATGTTTCTTTTTTTTATTTTCTTTTTAGCACTCTGTAGGGACAGTATTATAATTTTGTATTTATTCATATTTGCCACACAGAGGAAGAATGATGTTACAAAGTTCAGATGCAAGTACAAGCACCATCGATAATAAATAGATGTATTAAGGTGATGATCTATATTCTAGGAATAAGCAGCTTGCTGTCCTGTCAACAATACTGGTGTTAGAATTTGTCTGAAAAGTTCACAGTATTTCTGTAATATATGGTTTCTGTGAAAGTGCAGGTATTTCTACTGTCAAGTTGGCTAAGACTGCTGGAAGGTTACAGTTTCATCCAGAACCCAAGATCTCATGAGAATGATTGAAGATTCCCAAATAAAAGTTTCAGTATTGATGGATAACTGAGTACTCAACCAATGATTAACTCTGAAAACCATGAACTGTGTTACCGTTATGCCTTTTTATGGTTCATCTCACTGAAATCCTGGACTGTATTATTTGGATAGTATAAAGTGGGAGTTCTCGATCAGGGGGAATTTCATAGTTTCAGGGAAGAATGTGATGAGCCTTTTATTTGCCTGCTAGGTATTTAATTTAGGAATATGGTTGGTTTATGTGATTATGGCAAAGCCTCAAGGGCTATCTGCCTAAAATCCCTGAGATGCTTTCGTGGAAGACTTCTAAGGGAAACTACTTGTATAACACGTTACACATGGGAAAAACAAAGAAAATGCCCATGCAGCCAGCCCGTTTGCAGGATTTGAACCTCAGACCGAACTACCAGTGTTCAGCAACTTTACTACTCGGCCGCTGGGGGACCAGTTTAGGAATATGAAAACTACATTTATTCAAATTTTGGTATCTATCAACCTTTTCTATACTTTTTCTTGCTTAATTTATAAAATACATTAAAAAGTCTTCTTTGATTTTTTCTAGATTTATATTAATTAAATATTTTAATATTAAAGTTAAAAAAAATTTTTAATAAAACAAAGATAGCAGCTTGGCACTCAACTTTACTTACATAAGCGCCATCTATATGATTTGCAGAACACACTTACATCACTTAGGAAATACTTTTACAGACCCCAACGCCATATGGTAGGTAAGTTAGAATTAAAACTAACTATTTACTTGCTTTTAAGTATTTTTTATGTAGTATTTAAGTATTTTTTTGTATTTGTTTTTTATAAATTATGAATTAGTTCTTTTTAGTTTCTTATTGGTTTATATAAATTATGTCTAGTTCCTTTTTAGTTTCTTTTTGATTGATATGCATATTCGTGTCGGGGAGGTTTCTGTAGACAAGGGTTTCTATAATGCATTGGTTTCTAAATTAATTTTTCTGAAAAATTTAATTAAATTTTTTTTTAAATTTAATTTAATACTAGACTTTACATTGCTTAATTCTCAAAATACTTCATTATTGGTATTTTCCTTTTAGACCTTTATTTTAATTGCTAATTTCTCAAGGTATCACTTTATTGGTATTTCTTTTTGGACATTCTTCAATACGTATTTACTTTTGGTTTTGACCTTTACCCTTGCCTGCAGAGGTCGTAGCTAGGGTTTTCAGCGCACAGGGACAACTGAAGATTTCGTGCCCCCTACTGGTTACCAAGGATGGAAAACATTTAATTCTAAAATGTCGTAACATCAGTTTGGCGCCCCTTGGATTCTGCGCCCGGGGACAGATGCCCCCCTCTTGCTACGCCCCTGCTTGCCTGCATGAATGACGAAACACGAATTGAATGATTGTAGAGTTAGGTTTGGAGGCAACTTCCCCTTGATAAGTCTGTCTCCTGCCTGCTCAACGGTCATTCACTTATGCATTTAAAAAAAATTTTTTTTAGATTAATTTTAATTTGCTAAATTGGTGAATTTATTTTCATGGTTTGGTTTTGCACTTGATTTACTTATGCTATCTGAATTTAAATGATATTGTAGATTAGTTTGAAAATTAAATCTTTTATATGTTTGCACATTTTAAAATTATTTTAACTTTAAATTTGCTTTTTACGCACACAATCATCTTTATAAGAATTTAGAATGAGTTGATTCATGTAGATACCTCATATTTAAAATGCAAGGCACTAGATTGCTTTTTATATGGGACACCTTATATAAAAATGTTAATGATAATTTCTTTAAATGTCATTTTTACCTCTCTTAAATATTCATAAAGCTCTGCTTGTTTAAGTTACTTTTTAAACCAATTACGTTTTTTTCACTTTTAGTCAAACTGATCTACAAATGTTAATAATGTTTTATCAGAATGGTTAACAATCTTTTGAAAGTAATTACATTCTCTAACTGTAAAAAAGTACAGTATTATAAAATATCACAGTCATTATTTCTCTCATGGTAAAAAATAAAAAAAACATATCACTAAATGAAGCAAAATGTATATTTCTTTACCAAAAGCCTCCTTGGATTCTTGTAACCGATCTATATCGGAAGAATCTACAATATACACAACTGCATGACACTCTGCATAATATTTATCCCATAATACTTGAAGATCTTCTTGACCTCCAAGATCCCAAAAATTAAGGCGTACGCCGTGCATATCAATGCGGCCAACTGTTAAGAAAAAATACAAATTAATTCTTTACTCTCATTCCAAGATAAGAAATTCATAGAAACACTGATAGATACATTTTTATAAAATTGTATACTCACTGTTTAAACCAACAGTTGTAGTTATTTTTGTTGGATTCAAACCCTTATAATTTTTGGAGAATTTTGTTTTTGTTTGCTCAAGAAATGTCTACAAGAGAAAAATAAAAAAACTTTATCCGTGAAAACTTTTATTTTTTAATACAAAAAAAAAAAAAAAAAAAAAAAAAAAAAACGATACTATTCTGTTTTGAGGACCGTAAAAAAATTGCAATGAAAATGTATGCGCAAAAGTGCCAAATCTAGCAAACGCGGCCATTTAACAGCACGCCAAATCTAGTGTACACGCTGATTTCAGATTGCATAAGTTTATATAGTTCTATATTTCTTAAGACGCCATTGAAATACTAGTTTAATTTTTAAATCCTTTTTTGTTATCCTATGGATTTAACAATTTCGGAATTGCCCATGACGAAAATTCTGCAATAGAATTTTGGGTAAGTGCAGAATCATCCACTGCTTGACGAGTTTTTAAGAATAGCACATACTCGGTATCCATGTACACATCAACCTATTTTTACTACAAAAATAATTCTCAGAATTGCACAAAAATGGCATGCGCGCACACCGTGGACTTTATCCATGTACACATCAACCTATTTTCACAAAAAAATTAAAAAAATTGACAAAAATCCCCCAATTATTTACCCTTGTAAAAAAAGCGGCACAAACAAATAAATGGAAAAAAGCGGCCAAACAAATAAACCGATTCTGCCTTTTACCGAGAATTTTTTCAAAGAAAAAGCATCATTCATAATAGAAAATTATGTTTGAACAACCGACGAGATGAAATTATGATTTAGCAATAACTCAATAATAAGCGAAATAGCGATGCAGGCATCCATTCAGTTATATTTAGGAATTTTTATATAAATTATAATAACGTTCTGAAATAGTTATTTACTCTTGTGCTTCCATTCAGTTATGTTTAGTCTTTTTTGTATAAATTATAATAATAAAAAAGTATTATATGAAATTAACCTTTCATCTAAATTAAAACAACAATCTTAGATAGTTATTTACTATTATACTTCTTTTCTTGTGTTAGGGTTGCTGCAATTATTTTTAGCAGCACTGGCATCAACAATAGTTTGGGAATTTTTTGCGGCCCTCAAAACCGAATAGTACCAAAATGCAATTATGGAAAATAAATTTTGCATGTATCATTATTCAATAAAATATCACAAATTTAATATTGTCTCAGAATTCGTACACATTTATACACACTGAAATTAAGTACTTTTAAGAACTGCTAATGGAAAAAAAAAAAAAAAAAAAAAAAAAAAAAAAAAAAAATAAAGACCTATCAGCAAAGGGAATTGAATAAACTAAAGCGATTATCTACATCTGAATTTCACTTGTGTTAATACCGTTCTAAGAATTAAATAAATCAGTAAGTATCTGCATTATTAGAAAACATAATCTTATACTTAGTGTAACTATAAAACAAAACAAAGAATAAAATCATCTTTGTAAAATTAATCACTTAATTAGCATTAAATTACAAAATTCATCCAAAATTTACACTGATATTCATATTTTACCTTTATAATAATACCACATATTTTAACGAAGATTAAACTTCAGTAACATTTAATTTTATGATGATTCTTTCTTTCATGCCTCATTTCGTCATATACTCGCTCAGTCCAGAGATTTATGCAAATTTTATGTCAAGTAATATAGATTAAAAGAGAAGTAAAACCATAACCAGCATGGTTTGTAAAACAAGCTTGGCTGTTGCTACCATTGCTGCTTGTCTAGACAGAGACCTCCTGATCAGAACAGACCCGAGTGCCTGATATTGGCAAGAATGGTATGTGTTGAAAGTTAGTTGCACTTTGTCTGTATGACCCGGTCATTTTTAACAGAAAACTGACACACATTTGAATATTCTGAAACAACACCATGGGGAGAAACTAAACAAATACAGAAAAAAAAAAAAAAATGAAATTAATTTTTAAATAACTAAAGTAGATTTTACTTTTATCAAGAAACGTTCCAGAAGCTGTGCTTTGTAGCATTTATTATCTTATTTATATTCAGAATCAAAATATTCCTAAGACACCATTATTCATTTCCATAAGGAAATAAAAATGTTTTACTTTTCCGTTTTGACGGCTCAAATCTCGCCAAGTAGACTTTATTGGAGACAACATACAGTATACACATAAAAAATGTTAGTTCTAATAATTTTTTACTTTGAAGGCATAAACATTTTAATATCGTTTAAAATTTTGTAAAAAAGACACTAATTTAAGAATTTACTATGCTTTCTTGGTTCAACATCCTGATTTGCAGGTTTATATCACACGACCCCAAGTGACCATCTCACGTAAACTATGCTACAAATATCTAATTCTCTCAGTAATTATCTACATTAATTTTAAGTTAAATCTTAATTTGGAATACAAGTTTAAAATCAAGAATTATTTCAATTCAATATGAATAGCTTACTCAGAAATTATATAAAACCACAGTGCTTTACTTCGCTAGTGCATTTTCATTAGAATTGATGAATTTAACCTTTGACTTTGCCAATTTTCGCCATCAGGTAATGACATCCTAATTGACTTAATTACCACGAATGGCCTTAGGGCATAAAATGGAACTCTGGTAAAAATTCTATGTAATTGTATGCCAGCATTGAAAGAAACAATCAATCTGATAAGAAATGGCTGCAACTTGTTTTGAATATGAGGCGTAAAAGGTTACCAGCAAAGATATTCCGTTTGGCATCAGTTGTACCATTATTGCCGACTTTAATGCCTACGCCGGCAAAACGCAAAAGTACCATGTTTTACTTCATTTCTATTTCTTAATTGCAATTTTAATATAGTGTCACTAATTTATCAATTTTTATTATGTTTGTAAAAATTAATCTTTGAAAAATTCATAAATATCCAGATAAAAAATTTTGTATCCGAAATGATCTATAAATCTCGACATTTAGTGCCACATAATAAAAGAAATATCTCAAGAAAGCAAAGGGCATTTCCAATGTAAATGAATTCAAATGATAACCCATCAAATACATAAATAACAAAATGGCAATGAAGCGAAAAATATTTCTCCAATACAGTTATTCAAACTCAAAATAGCAGTTGTAGATGAGTAAAATTAAGGATCTCTTACCTATTTGGCCTAAAATTAAGGACTTTAAAGGACGAGAAATCGTATTTAGTAGCACATAATAAAAGAAGTCATATCTCAAAAAAGGAATGGTGGTTTTTGACGTAATATTCCATGTGCATTCTCAAACAAAGAAATACAAGATGTTAATATTTCAATCAAGGCAGGGCCTCCTGGCCTATTATAAAGTAAGAAAGAATTTAAATGATCCATCAGATACATATTTGACAAAGAATCATAAAATATTCCGGCCCACCAGCGGGCGAGCGGTAACATTGCTGAACACTGGTAGTTCGGTCCAAGGTTTGAATTCCCCAAACGGGCTGGCTGCACGGGCGTTTTCATGGTTTTCCCCATGTGTAACGTATATACAAGCCAGTTTCCCTTAGAAAGTACTCCACGAAGGCATCCCTCCCTTAAGGCAGATAGCCTTCGAGTGCTCTGCTAATCAATGTAATCCACACTCAAAATGGTAGTTGTAAAAACCAAACAAAAATGGCAGATGAGTAAAATCTGGACCAAAGTTAAGGACTTTTAAGGAACATTAATAAAATCATTTCTAAAAAACCTAAAGACTTTTTAAATAGTTTTAGGGACTGTACGAACCCTGTTTCAACTTGAATAAAAAAAAAGGTTCAACACTTAAACAAATTTTTTTTAAATAGTGTTCATATGACTTATTACTGGAAATATATGCAAATATTTTGAAAAAGTACCTACAGATACCATACTTTTAAATTTATTTAAGAATTTAATTAATATGGAAAAAATCAATAAAAAAATTAAATATATTAAGAACTTACAGTTTTTCCAGCATTATCTAATCCAAGTATAAGAACAAAGTATTCATCTTTTTGAAATAAATACTTCCAAAGTCCATATAAGAGAGTATACATCACAATGACTAAAACAACTCAGCAGTCTTCCTATAATTTCATCTGAAATATCAACAATGTTAAGTGAGAAACTTGGAATATAATTTGAAGGCAAAAGTGTCTGTAATCTTTGATCTTAATTACATGCAAGAATTTCTCATTTGACATGATTATTAATATTTGTGAAATTAAACCTGTGAGAAAGATAAATTAATATCCATGTAAAGAAATCAAGAAACATAATAAAAGTTTTATAATACATGCACCTGTCCAGTAAAAAGGTCTTTCTTTTCCAGCAACTTCAACACACTTGCTCCCCAAGTTAGTATTGTGATTTTAAAAATTATTTCCTGTGGTTTAAATTTAATGTACATATACTTTGCTGTAATTAAAAATAGAAATCGCATAAAGTTTTATTAAATTAAAATATTTTCTGAAAATTTTGGGAGAAATACCGAATAAAATAAGTATGAAGGGAACAAATGATCCGTATCAAAGCCAAAAAGACTAAGCCCTCTCATTAACTTAAAAAAAACCACAAATTTCATGTGCAGATGAAAAAGCTAACACTGGCATTATACCAGGAAATTGATCCCAACAGTGTACATTTTCAGCACAAGGAAAAACTCATTGAAGAAGACAATGTGGCAAAAACGTGCAATGTGGGCATGCATGTACCAAAAGACAAAAACATGCTTTGAACTGTCACAAAAATATTTGTTCTTTGAAATAAAAAAAAAAAAAAAAAAAAGTTTCCTCCACTCTCTTTTTTTCTATTGTACTGAGTTTTAATCCACGTAGCCAAACGTCCTAATATGTAGGTACTTCACTGCTATAGAAAAATACATAAATGTTTATTTTTTTTTTTCTGACGATTACTTGTAAAATAATGTAAAAAATATATATATTATATATTATGCAATTCCTACATGCATTTTGTTTTAAATTCGTAAAATTCGTCATTATGGGAACGCGCACGAAGAAAGGTAAGTTTTTTTTTCCCTACTTACCTCGGTAAGTTTCAAGTCCTAGACGTGCGGTGGTTTCACAGTGCGACCACCACCCACAGAACAATGGGCAAGAGTAGATTTTTTTAAATTCATACATTATTTGTCTCTAGGATCATAATATTAAATTTTTAGAGTTTTTAGTTAAAAAAATTATAAAAATAAAATCGCGCGCGTCAAACGGTTAAACATATATACATGCATACAGTTCTGGATATGGTCCTGTTAATAGAACAGTACCAAAATTACGAACACCAAATGCAGCAAAATTATAGACACAAGTAAATTTAAAAAGAATATCACTGAATGGCATTTAAAAGAGAGAAATCAAGTTTAAATCAACTATTTACTAATTGATCTTTTAATGCATATTCAAAATGTCAAATTCCATCCCTAAAATAACAGAATTAAATATTAACACGCTTGGAATGTTTCTAAAATTTAATGTTTTATATATCTATAAAATTATCATATATTACACAACTTTATAAATAGTGAAAATTACTCAAGTATTACATTCAATAGCCTAATCTTAACTGTATGGTCCCTCTTGATTTTTTTCGAAAAAAGTCACCAAACGGTAATGGTTGTTTGTGAAATCTAGAAGCCCACTGCGCTTTTTTTTTTTTTTTGGTAATAGTAACACTTTTGTATGGACTCGGGTTTTTGGTTCTTACTATTCTTTTCAGTTGCTGTGTTTGCTTGCACGTGCGTGGTATGGTTTTGGATTTTGAACTTGCTATTATTTTGCTGTAGGTACCATCATTTGAGTATGTCCGACATGGGTAAGAGGATGAATGTTGATTAACAGCAGATGAGCCGAAACGATGAAAAATTTAATTGAATTGCTTACCTGGAGAATGGAGGAAATGGTGGTAAGAAGCCTAAGCATATGCACATGAAAAAAGGTATGTTAAAAAATTAAACGTTTAATTTATTTATTCGTCTGTGGGTGTTAATTTTTGTTAAAGTAAGTAATTTTTGTTTGTTGTTTAATGTTTCTATATTAGGAAATATGTATTTTTTGTTATTTGTTCGTCTCTGTGTGTTAAGACAGCAGCAATTTTGGCTAATCTTTAAAATATGGTAACAGGTAGTTTGGCGACATTTTGGTAAGGCAATAAAGGTTACTAGCTAGGACTTTAGCAATACTCTGAGAAGTATACGGTTCGAATCACAGATTATTTTGTCTCAGAGAAATGAGAGATCATGAGACATGTCATGTGACATTTTTCCGGAGAAATCGTGATTTTAGCTAATAAGCACTAGAAACAATTTCGCTGTAAGTGCAGAATCGCCCACTATTTATTTGGCGCTTTTTACAAGAGTAAGAAGAATTGGATTTTTGTCAATTATCTTTGACTTTTTAAGTGAAAATAGGTTGATGTGTACATAGATAAAGTCAAGAATGCCATTTGGATGTTTCTCGGATGTTTTTTTTAAGTGAAAATAGGTCAACGTGTACATGGATACCGTGTATATGCAATTCTTAAAAACGCGGCAAGCAGTTTGTGATTCTGCACTTTCTCCCAATTTCGCACCTAATCTTCGTCACGATTAAGCATTTTTGTTCCATAAAAGTTCTAGTATAAGCGTAATTCGGCTAGCAGATTGTTGGAAAAAATGTTGAGTAAAAAATTAAAACATGCCTTTACTTTGTGAAAACAAAACTAGCAGGTTGCTGTAGCAGGGTTGGTAGCTAAAGTTTTGCCAAGTTACCATAATGTAAAGATTCACCGCAATTTTTTTTTCTGGTTACTTTGTTTTAGCTTCCTGATTTTGTTTAAGTGACAATAGATCGATGTATACATGGACAAAGTTAAGGGAGTATGCAATGCCTAGCTTAAGCAATTCTCTGATGTTTTTTTAAGTGAAAATAAGTCGATGTGTACATGAGCAAAGTTAAGGCAATGTGCAATGCGTAGTTTGTGTAATTCTCCGATTTTTTTAAAGTGAAAATCGGTCAATGTGTACATGAACGGCGAGTTTGTGCAAATCTTTGATTTCTGTACTGGCCATTATGAAATTGCCTATCGATCCTTCCTAGCACCGATCTTGTGGTCAAAAAAGAAACGATTTGCCAAGGAGCACCGTAGAGTAAATTTTTATCCATTCAATAGTATTTTAAGCCCTGATATAAACACTGTGATTTTCAAATGAGTCAGAATTAATATATAGCAATGCGTTTTAATTTAACCACCAAATGGAAGAAACAGATCACAGAACAACATATATATGTATATATATATACATTTCTTTTGGTAATTTATAACTAAGTATCTAAATACCCTTTCCTGCACTCTATTTACAACTTTTCAAATTTCTTAGATCATTCAACATTTCACAATATATAAACTATAAAAAAGAATAATAAAGCTTAGTACGGATAAACTCTCTACCCAATTAAAGATTCATTTGTGTTTGGCAATCTTGGTACAATTTTATTAATCTAGTTTCTAACATTCATAGAAATATAAACACAACGAATAATTGTCTATGAAAGATAATGGGTTTTGTACCAAATAAATATAATTTTAGAAGATAACATAAGCTGAAATTGATATAAACTAAATTACTCTCACCAACGTTGATACAATTCTTTGTCTAATCTCGTAGTACTAACATTAAGTATAAATCTGCATTATATTTTTCAGAAAAAGTTATAATCACAAGACACCAATGTTTATATTAACAGCTGGATTTCAAAATTCCGCTTGAAATCTACATCTATAAAAAATTTTAGAATACATACTTGTGCTGCCAAATATATTGAAGTATATGATACATACACATTATACAGTAATCAAAGAACTGTAATAATCTATAAAAAATCTTTATACTTACTTTTAGAATTTTTCTAACAATACAAAATAGACATTTCTCCAGTAAGCAATAAATACGTCAAAAAATTGAGATAATGAAAATCACTTTATTTGCATCAAGAGCTCTTAAAATTCACAGAAATAACAAAATATGGGTGCAGGAGAAGACATCAATTAAAGTGGTAATTAACTATACAACTTTAATACAATTAGTAATTAATTACACAACGCTAATATAATTATGCAGCCTGTCACCTGTTGTACGAAACGTTAACAAACATCTCTAGCCGTTACTCTTATGAGTTGAGTTGAAACTGCCTGCTGAGTATGCAAATTATTTACGTGAAGAAGTTTAAAGGCATGTTCTTCGGATTCATGGGTGCCGCCATTGTACTAGTCATTTAAGAAATAATGCAATCTTATCAGACATACCATTTCCATCTCTAGTAATATTGCATTTATATCACTTTGTGATGTTACATTCATGTCACTTTGTAAAGTTGTATCAAATTCGTATAATGACGTTACATTATTGTCGTAGTGGGACTTCACTAGATCATCACGGTGTAACTTCACAGCAATGTATCAGCGTAATTTCGCATCAACATCACAGTGTGTCTTTATATTAACGTCTCATAGACGTATCAATATGTCATCTTATGACTACAACTTCACTGCGATGTTGTGTGACTTTACGTGGAATGACAGTTATGTTGCAATTGTCTTAGCGACACAGCGATATCGCCATGCTACTGGGTATGCAACTCGCAATGAATCTGTGATTGCAGTCACCTGTTAGACTATTTCTAGGACTGCATTGCTCTTCGGTAGCCTTCTACTCATTAGGGGCTGGAAGGGAATGAAAAAAGCAGTTAAAAACGATACTGGTGGTTTCAAAAATCTAAAACACTTCGATATACGTTTAATGCACTTTCATATTTCAAACAAGTGCAGATTTAAATAATTTATCCTCAATCAAGAATTAGGCTTCAGTAAGAGAATCGCAATGTATCCTTGATCAAAGGTTTCTTTTCAAGCCTACGTTGCAAACTGGTTATGCATTTCTTTTCTTGACAAGTCATGATTTTTATGGTATCCATTTCTGTCGTATTAACTACTATGAAGCTTTCTTGTTTGCATTCCTTGTAACTCTGTGATACGACTGAATGCGCTAATACTGATGGTGTTCTGCACTCATTTGTTTTAACTGCATATGTAAAAGGTACAACAAAACCAGAAGGCAAATGCCATAGTAGACAAACGCTTGGCATTTGAAAATAATAAATAATTTATTATTTTTTAAGTTTGTAATACAAACGTAAAAGAAACCATCTATTGAAGTCAATGAGCGTTATTAGGAAATGAAATATTTTTATAACTGTAATAACATTTAATATTAATTTGTGGAAATAAACAAACAAAGTGTACAATTATATCTAATTTTTTTTATCATGGCGGAATTGGGGTCATTGAAGGGGGGGGGGAAGTGGCACCAGATATCAATTAACCACTACTAAACTAGCAGTATCATTAATGTGTAATGATAGGAAACATTGATTATTCGAACCTCACAACATATCTCACTAACAAGTGTCACTTGCATTACAAAAGTCATTAAAGATATTCTGAGGCTCAATCACTTGCCCAGTTGTTGGAAACACGAAATTATATTCAGTGTACTCTCGATTTCCCCGCGGGGGATAATCCGGCTTGTCAATTATCCTTACCTAGCGTTGCCCACGCGTACACTCATCGTTGTGAGCGAGAGTGTATAAGAAACAAACACGCGAATGTTCGATTATGGAGAAAGATTTTTCCTCTTTGATTTATCTAATTGTGAAGAAGTGGAATAATAACTGAAGTTGTATTCGAAAAAATGGCAAACCTAAAATTCTTTGAAAATGTCGATTGAGAAAACGAGGAATGGCTCGATGGTGATTCGACTGAACTGAGATTTCAGTGAGTGATGCGAATATCGTTTCATATGTCCCAAGAACAGAAGATACAGACAATAGCATTGAATAAAACAAGTGAAGAAGGCACTGACAATTACAGCAATCCTGAGACAGCAATGACTTTCTGTTGAAACGCTGTTGGACTTCGTCGACCAAATAGGATCAAAATACAATGATAAAATATCATTTCGTAAAATAATCATTAAAATATTTGAAACAAATATTTTAAAGCTATTATTGGCTGTCTGTCTCGAACAGGAGATCAAGGGAAAGAATACCATATAGCGTTCTTCTCAATGTAGATGGTTCTTGTCAATGTAGACGTTCTTGCCTAACATCTTGCCAATGTACCTTTTACGTATCTAACGGAAACTCAGCCATACGGAGCAAATTTCACATTTTGTAAAGCATTTATGAGCTTTTCATTAAGAAACTCAACGATTTCAAAGAGGGTTAATGGCAACACTGTACGAAAAAAATTTTTAAAAAAATTATCTCCAATACGCGAGACTGTGTATCGGAAAATCTAAAGGTATGTTCTTTTAACCATTTTGTGATATTGAATTAAATTGAATTTTATGGTTTAAGTGCGAAGAACACGATATTTAATAAATAAAAGTAACACACAAAACGTTAAAAAAAGTCCCTTTGGGCGTTATATAAAAATCTGAAAGCTTTCAGTGTTTATTTATTTATTTATTGTTTCCTTCCTTCCTGACAGTCTTCCATAGGGCTCCGGCACTTTTAATTTTAGAAATTAAGTTCTGCGCTACATTACATAACTAGCATGTCAGTTTGCTTCTCTGAGTAATTTACTAAGTGGGGGTGGGGAACTTGGTACTTTTTATTTCATTTCATTTCCGCAACACTATCATGAAAACTGCCGAATTAGCAGATATGGGCTGACATGACTATGCAGAAGCTTTATTCTGTAAGGTATAAGGTATTTCTTCCGCCTTCCTAGCATGTAGTATAGTGGTCAGCGCACTGGCGCGTATTCCGGAGGTCTGTGGTTCGATTCCAGGCGAAGGGTTGCTCATTTTTCATCACTCCTGCTTCTAAAACAACCTAATTGTCTTTACAAAGTTATTTCCTCCCTCTTTTCCGCATGGCGTCGTGTTGTAATTGGAAGCATCCTCGAATCGTATTCGAGATTCCACGGTTCGAAGCCCGGAGAGGCCACTGCACATTTTTCAGATCTCTAACTTAAAAAAACTACTAATAACTTTATGATTCTTATATAATAACGCTTCAAGATTTGCAGTCATACATAGCAGTCCGAAATCTTTATGTTGGTTGTAAGAAGTTGCCGAAGTTACCTGTACATGAAAAAGCATTCTGAGGAAATATTTTTTTAAACCTTTCTATGAATATGCCGACAGAGTCAGTACCGAACAAAAATTCTCTTTATTTTTTTACCCTTGCATCTCTTTCACTATTGCTGGACGATCATCCCTTCCCTCCTTTCCCAAACTCAAAAAACATATATGCATCTATTTAAATTTGGATTATTTTTTAATGTATCTTATAAATGAGATACATTCCGCAAGAGAAGAAGAGGAAGAATGACCTTGCTTGTTTGCATTAGCTGTACATAAGTCACGTGATCTCTGAGGTCATCTGCATTGTTTGTTCACAAAAGGTATACATAAGTCACGTGATCTCTGAGGTCATCTACATTGTTTGTTTACAAAAGGTATACATAAGTCACGTGATAAGTGAGGTCATCGGAATGTATCTCATTAAACAAGAAAAAGCATAGGAAATGTTGATAAATAACAAAACCTGAATAATTTTGAGTCCAAAGAGCAATTTGTCGTGAAGGACTATTAATCTCGTTTTGGCATTTTGCGATAAAATCTATAAACAGCGAATTACTTTTCAGACTGTTGCCACAAAATATTAGAGTCCTGCATTATATTTGAAGAAATTAAGTAATGAAGAATCTGCATCAATGTATGTATGTTTCTTGCATTGTGATAAAACAACGGTACCTAGCTCCACCCAAATTTGAATAACGTAATCTTCCATAGATATGGCAGAAATGGGCAAAAAAATTCCATAGATAAATTCCATAGATATGGCATAAAGTTATTAGTAGTTTTCGATCGCGGGACAAAAATCGGAATAAAAAAAATTTTGGCAACCAAGATAAATTTTTCTAAAATTTTAAAAACAATATACAAGTATTATAATTTAAATATATTATTGAGATGAACAAAATTGCGATTTCATTTTTAAAAGTTCCTTATATTGAGATTCGAAGTGAGATGTACTGATTCTATGGAACGAGGCTAAATGCTCATCTGTCAGTGTACTTCTGAAATAATTCTTTTCTAAGGTTCATAGTTGAAACACTTGTTCACATATATAAGAGGAAGCAAACATAGCACTGATTTTCTGGGCGTGAGATATTAAATTTGGGAAACTTACTTTCGATAATGATTTGTAGAACTCTAACTTTGTCATATTTAGAAACAACAGCTTGAGATGACTGCTAGATTGCAACTCAATTAATTCAAGCTGCAAATCTGAACACACTGCTTCACAACTTATGTTGAAAGGCAAGGTAAAAACAGTCACTTCTGTTTGAATGGCATTGAAATCTTGAAATCTGGGTACTGTTTATCTTCTTAAAAAATTTTGTCGGTCTGATAATTTTTTACAAAGACTTTCTGTATTTTGTTTTCTTCAGAGTCGTAGCTAGGGTTTTCAGCGCCCAGGGACAAGTCAAGTTTTCGCGCCCCCTACTGCTTGCAAGGATGGAAAACATTTAATTCTAAAATGTCGTAAAATATTTCCAGGTCCATTCATCATTAAAAGCACGACACTCTGAATCAACGTTTTTAGTAGCCATTTCGGGGTTGAAATATTTTGCCAATAATCCCCAAAAAGCACTAGCTAAGCTGTACTTTTAGTAATTTTACCACTATTCACAATGATGCTATATGTCTGCAATCTTTTCATACGCAGTCAATGATATTAGAACTCGCGCCGAAAGAAAAAGCCGCTGTGTGGAGCTTAAAATGCACAGTCTGCCACATGTCAGATCTAATTCACCTATAATGAATTCCCACATGTCTGCTCCCCGAGAAAGCGATAACGCTTGTTGGCGCTAATCTACAGCTATAACTAACAAAGAACTTTCCGCTTTTTAACACTTTACCGATTGATTGATTTCTGTGCTTGCTATTTCCGTCGATTTAGGTTTTGTAGAACAAAAATATAGAAAATAAAAAGATCAGCAGTCCTTTGAGAAAGGAAGAAAAAAAAATATTTAAACGAAGTAGAAAAGGAGATGGATATATAAATATATATTTCTTTCAATTTGCCTCCGACCGGCAAATTAAAATTCTATCCGCGGGCCGGATAGAATCTTCAGGCGGGCCGTAGTTTGCTCATCCCTGGAATATGAGTATGTGGAAGCCCTAATTTGAATTTGAAATTTGTTTTATTATCGATTTCGTATTTTGGCCCACCAGCGGCCGAGCGGTAAAGTCGCTGAACACTGGTAGTTCGGTCCGAGGTTCGAATCCCGCGAACAAGCTGGCTGCATGGGCGTTTTCGTGGTTTTCCCCATGTTTGACGTGTATACGAGCCAGTTTCCCTTAGAATGTCCTCCACGAAGGCATCCCTCCTCTTAGGCAGATAGCCCTCGAGGCTTTGCCATCATCACACACCACACGATTTCGTATTTTGTAACATTTCAACGGGTACTTTTCCGTTTCGCTGGCGCAAATCTCGGCAAGCAGACTTTATTGGCGACAACATACAGTATACACATAAAAAAAGTTAACAAATGTTAGTTCTAAGAATTTTTTATTTTGAAGGCATAGACATTTTAATATCGTTTAAAATTTTGTAAAAAGCCAATAAATTTGTAAAAAGATATTAATTTAAGAATTTACTATGCTTTCATGGTTCAACATCCTGATTCGCTGGTTCGTATCACGTGATCCCAAGTGATCTCATCTCGCGTAAACTACACTACAAAAATCTACTTTTTTCAGTAATTATTTACATTAATTTTAAGTTAAATCTTAATTTGGAATACAAGTTTAAATGAAAGAATTATTTCATTTCGTACGAACAGCTTACTCAGAAAGCGCAGTGCTTTACTTCGCTAGAGTGCTTCACTTTCTCATTAGAATTGATTGACTCTTGACTTTGCATTTTCTATATTTTTGCCTTCGGGTGAAAGGTGTGATTGCATCCCAATTGACTTAATTACCGCGAATGGCCTTAGGGCATAAAATTTAACTATCTGGTGAAAATTCTATGTAATTGTATGCCAGTATTGAAAGAAACAATCAATCGAATAAGAAATGGCTACTACTTGTTTTGAAAATGAGGCGTGAAAGGTTACCAGCGAGGATATTCCGTTTGGCATCAGTTCTACCATTATTGGCGACTTTATCGCCTGCGCCGGCAAAACGGAAAAGTACCTTTCAACGAATTTTTCATTAACAAACTAAACGATTTCAAATCGAGCAGTGGGAACACAGTTCTGAAGGGGGGGGGGAATTATCTACAGCGCGCGAAACTATGTACAGGAAATTCTAAAGATATGCTCATTTTAAAATTATTTTGCGATATTGCTGTTGAACTCATTTCTATGGTTTGAGAACGTAGAACTATAAGGTTCTACTCCCGCCTTCTTGGCATGCCTTCGTGGTGTGGTGGGCAGCACGCTCAGCGCGTAATTGAGAGGTCCGTGGTTCGATTCCCGGCGAAGGCGTTGCATATTTTCATCTTGCCTGCTTCCAAAAAATACCTAATGTCTCTACTGAACATGATATTTAATAAATAAATATAACATACAAAACGTTTAAAAAGCACTTCTTTGGACCTAATTTAAAATCTGAAAAATTTCAGATTTATTTCATTATGTTATATATATATACTATATATATATGTAATAATAAAATTCCATAGTCAAGAATACACTTAAAATTCTAAGTGTATGTTCTTTTCATTTTTAATGGCGACGTTCTCTTATTTGAAAGTACGTGGAATTAAATCCACAGCCCCGTAGTCAAGTTGTTTTTCCCGCCTTTTCTACACGTACAGTTATAGAATGCTCTGGAAATATTTAAAGCGAACTGGATTGGCTGACGAGGCTGACGTCATTTCTTGGAAGCTCCGCCTTTCCAGAGGCTATAAAAGGACTCGCAAAAGAATATCGGGGCTTTTTCTTAAATGTCACGATGCAGTAAACTTCATACAAAATTTATTAGTAATTCATTTTATTTACTCCGGATATCTGAATTTGTAACTGCTATTTCTCCTGAATAATAATAAATTGATCCTGTTTTTTTTTTTTTTTTTTTTTTTTTTTTTTACTTATCATCTGATAATTTAAGCTACGACTAAAGCTGGTACATCACACACACACACACACATATATATATATATTACATTCATAAACTAAAGCTAAATGCTTAACATCTAAACAAAAGACTGGTCGCATTACTCCCTTAAACTGTAACATCCCCCCCCACCGTGCTTGAGAACCCCTGGCTTAGAGTTATCGCAGTTCTAGGAAATATTTTAAAAGTTAAGAAAAGATAAGTTACCCAAATGATACTAAATTTTATCTCACAGCTACTTCAGTGTAACAACATTTTCCCCACTTTGTTTAGATTTTTAAAATTAATATGAGAGTAAGATTATATGAGAATAAATTAATTAATACGAAAACAGAGAGAGAATAATATGATTACATTGGATTGGATTATGTAATTCAGACACAGTCCACGAGGATTTTCTACCTCAGCACCTTAGGGATGGAATATGAAGATCTTTAATGCCCTCTTCTTGTACTAACAGCTTCTTGAAAGGACTTTAGTTCGACAGGTTTTTAAATATAATCTTTCTATGAAGACACTACGCTACATCGCTTTAAATGATGGGATGATATTAGAAAATTTTGCATTGTGAAAACTTAATATTACAGTCTAACGTTCCAAAGAAGCGCTAACTGTTAATTAATTTTTTTTTTTTAAATTTAAAAAAAAAAAAAAAAAATGTCGAAAGCACTTAAGCACTTGCCCTAATGCCATGTTATGCTAAATATATTAAAAAAATATATATATCTTTTGAATTTCGAAAAGACAGTCTCGCGCGCTAGAGATAAAAGTGTTTTATTCCCTACAGTGTTGCCACTGCTCACTTTGAAATTGTTGAGTTTTTTAACCAAAGGTTTTACAAAATATGAAATATGTCATGAATCAAATTCGAAATTCCAAATTCGGGCTTCCAGATGCCAATGTTCGGGTAGAGGACTATGTTATTCAAAATTTGTTGACTCTAGGTACCGTTGTTTTTTTGACAGTGCGCGAAACATACATACATTCATGTAGATTCTTCATTATTCAGGTAATTTAAAGAAGATGCAGGGGGGGTAATATTTGGTGGCAACGATTTAAAAAGTTTTTATATTATTAACTTAAGCTGGACTGGCCAACGTACTTTTAATATTGAAGGTGAATGAAAGATCTAATACGACATTCGATTGATAATAACGTCTATTTATCGCGGAAATAATTTTATAGTAAAGTAAAAAAAAAAAAAAAATATTACGCCCAAAGGGAATTTTTTTTTACGTTTTGTGTATTACTTTTATTTATTAAATCTCATGTTCTTCTCACTTAAACCACAAAATATTCAGTTCTGCAGCACTATCACGAAATAATTTCAAAAGAGCATATCTTTAGATTTTATCTTAGAATATCTTTAGAACACAGTTTCGCTCGCTGAAGATATATTCCCCCCCACGTTAAGTTTTCCAAAATAAAATTCCGTTAAGTTCGTTAAAGTTTTCCAAAATATGAAGTAGACAATGAAAGAAAATCTAAATTAGGGCTTCCAAAATGCCTCTATTCGAGTGGATAATTACGTTATTCAAAATTTGATGGCTCTAGGTACCGTTGTTTTATCACAATGCGAGAAACATACATGCATTTATGCAGATTTTTCATTATTTAATTTCTTTATTTTAAATATGAACAGGGTGATAATTTGGTGGCAACAATTTGAAAAGTGATTCGCTGCTTATGGTGGTTAACGCAAAATGCCAAAACAAAATTAATAGTCCTCGTCAAATTGCCCCTTTTCCCTAAAAAGTTATTAACGAAGAGTTTTAATTCCGAAAAGAATTTGAAATAGACAATCTCGAAGAAAATTTGTTTCGTGGTGTTTAAAAAAAAAATTGGATATTTGGAATTATAATTTATCGGTGAAATAGACGCTAATTTCTAAAAATATGTATGTGGTTCATATACAGTTTGAAGATTACTAGTAAATTTGACCACATTTAAGAAAATTATAAATAATTAATAATAAAAAAAAAAAAAAAAAAAAAAAAAACGAAATCCTTGACGGGTTTTTTTAATCGTGATAGATATTCATCACACTAAGATTATGTTGATACACTTTGCAGGGGTTTGCTAAACAGAGAAAATCATTAAATTCGAATTCGTTACATTGGGATTCGATTGTACTGAACGCTTAAATTTATAATGATAAATGCGCTTAAAAAAAGAACTTGATATGAATTTGAGCTTATGACATAAAACTTCACGGTTTGAAGACACGAACATAAAACTGAATGAAAGAGAAGGGGGGGGATGACAAGATCGAAACAAACCGTTTCCCTTTCGTTGGATGAATCTCCACCTGCATGACGTCACAATTCCTCTGTTTGTGACATCACTCATAGAATTTTGCAAACGACCGTTTATTTTTCATTCGTCCTTTTTCGCATCAGGTTAGTGTAAACAGCCTCTTCTACTCTCTGGGTTACTGTGTTCTTCGAAAGAAAGAATGTCGATCGGTGGTGGTGGACTTTGTTTTTTGATTCGTGTCCCAACACAGGAATACGAAAAAGATATTTATGATTCTCGAAGCAGGACCCTGCAAGTGCCGGCTCCGACTAACGGTAAGTTAAATTAATATGCAACTTACTTTTTTAATTAGTTTGCTGTGCAAAATTATGCCAGTAGCAAATAATAATAAAGCGGGAAACCCTGTGCTTTGTAAATCTTGAAATAATTTGATGTATTACAAACGCTGAATAATTTTTCCTGATGCAACTATTTTTTTTAAGAATTCAGTAAATAAAGGAGATATATATATACATTTTCTGTTTTTAGTAAAAAATTTTTCCTCTTTGGCAAGTATATTTTAGGATAATAGTAATAGAGAAGTGAAATAATGTTACTGTAAATAATTACTCTGTTTGATGAAATTTCGAATTTATATCACTTAAGTATTGTTCTTATTTTCCATATAGTATGGTAACTACTTGAAATAATTTAAAAACTAATGATTTTTTTATTTCTCTGAAAAGTTTTACGTTGAGTGAAATTTGTTTGATTCTTCATTTTTGAGAGAGAATTCTCCAATGAAGAATTGTAATCTTATATAATCAGAAAAAGGTAATATATCACTTTAAATGTTTTTTTCTATTTATTTATTTATTTATTTTTATTCTAAGGATAAAAATACATATTATTTTGAAAAATAGAATAGCGAATTAAGTCATCCATTTGGCGCACCAACTTTCAGTATCTTTTTGCCCAATGAGCTAACTTTCAATTTTGTGCACCACAAATTTTGTTTTTCTGTCCAAACTGCTTGTTTTTGTGTAGAAACTAATTTTAATTCTGAAAATTTCTTTTTTAACTCTATTTAGTGTTTTAGGTTTAGATTTTAATAAAGATATATTGAGTTTTTATGCATTTTTGCCTTCCCGCGAAATGAGAACTGAATTGATTGAATGAGAAATATATCTCTAAAGAAATTCGAGGAAATAAGTTTTAGTGAAATTCAAACCAAAAATATGCATAATTAATAGGCTGTACAAGGAAGTCATGGCCGTCCTCATCAAATATTTTATATTTGTCTAAACTTTGCTTAATTTCGTTGTTTAATTTCGTCAGAAGTGCATTTTATATTTCATTTTAGGTAGGAAAATTAAAATATTTTATTTTGTATAATTGTTTAAAATTTGCTTTTAGGTAATACTTTAACGAGTTTAATAGTATCGTTGGTACAGAGTGTTTAATCAAACTGTTTGTATTTTCTGAATTTCAGATATCTTATAAACATTTTCAGGCGTTTCGAAAAATTTTATTTATTAGCGTAAATTTAGACATCTGTGTGTAAAAGACAGTTAGTGTGTAAAAGTATCTCCTACTCCCCAAAAAGTAGATTCCGTAAATAAGTTACTTTTCTTTTGAAAATTAAAATGTAATTGCGAATACAATATACTGACTGCTGACATCAACAATTCATCGTGACTATAAGATTTAATTCATCTTACGTCTGTACAGTTTAAAAAATAAAAACTTAAAAAAAAATACTCTATTTTCTGACAGGACAAAATTCGAATTTTTTTCGAGCTAAATTTGACACAATAAAAGTCGATTTTTAAGTTAACAATAAAATTCAAGCCATTCGAAACTTTGGAACGTAATGAAACAAATGAAAAGTGTTTTTGAAGTTACATGGACAGTAATAGGTTCTTGCATTTTAAATTCATTTAACATACGAAAATTTTCGAATTGTCTTGCATGCAGTAGAAAATTCAATAGTCTTGATATTATCTGTCTAAATATTATCTGTCTTAATATATTCTGTGCAATTTGACGTAAATATTTAATACATTTTCGATTTACAGTAGCATAGCAATAATATAAGAAAGCGTTTTTCCTTAAGGTATCTTGACAGAAATTAAATCTAGAAACTGATAAAATGCCATATCTAATATGTAAATTTAGATTCTATAATTAAATTTAAAAACAGATCACTATTATAAAATGAAAAATATATTTTATTATTTGAAAATAATAAAATACAAAAAAAATTGAAATATATTAATGGATTTTGAATTTTAAGACTTTAGACTGTTTATGGTATTTATGGAACTTTCAATTCTTCAACAAATTATCCATCATTTTCAAATTATGTGCAGCTGTTATTAGCCCAAAGGGCGTTAGCCCAAAAGTTCTATTAATTCCGTTGTGGCATTTTGCGTTGTTTCGCTCTTTAAACGGTTGCCACCAAATATTAAAGCCCTGTATTATATTTAAAGAAATTAAATAACAAAGAATCTGCATAAATGTATGCATGTTTCTCGTATTGTGAGAAAACAACGGTACATAGAGCTATCCAGTTTTGAATAACGTAGTCCTTCACCGAATATGGTCATCTGGAAGCCCTAATTTGGAATTTGTTTTATTACCTATTTCATATTTTGTCAGACATTAAAGAATTTTTGATTAACAAACTCTACGATTTCAAGGCGACACTATACGAAAAAAAATCTGTTGTATACACCACATGACTTCCTTGTACGGAATATTAAATTATACGCATTTTTTCTTGCATTTCATTTAAACTTATTGGATTGAATTAAATCTACTTGGCCGACAGCGCATAAACCACAATAGAATAAATGCATTCTTTAAAATTCACTCTAGTATTTGTTTACCATAGCGACACTCTGGCGCTAGATTCACTTAGCAGTATTAATAATTATATGACAGTTAACTTATATAATAATTATATAACGGAAACTAAGTTATACAATCCAATAATTATATAACAGTTAACTTATATATTTCGTTCATATTATAACTCATAATGCACAAAATTTATATCATTTAAAGAATAGAATTAAGTAATCGTTGCCACATGTTTTATTCAAATACTATAATACAGCTAGAACGATGTATAAAAGAAATTAAGCAAACAAAACAAAAAAGAAACAGTTTTTCACAGACGATTGAGTATTTCTCATTGAATTAATTCAGTTCTCTCTTCGCGAGAAGGCAAAAATACATAAAAACTCAAAATATCTGCATTAAAAATTACGAAGTAAATCTTAAACACCTATTTCATAGAAAAAATTCCAGAAAGAATTAAGAATGACTTAAATAAATTGGCAATAATAAATGAATGCGTTATCTTTGTTGTTGCGAAGCTAAGTTTCTCTAGATTGGCAACAAATCCACTAGTCTCTGTTTCAAATGTAAACATCAATGGCCGCCATATAAAAAAGGCTTAGCTGCACTTAGACAACTTTAAAATTGTTGATAATTCTCAAAATATTGCATACAGATTTACTAAAGGTATAAAAACGTTAACCGGAAGATAAAAACAACATAATACAATCATTTTTAAAGCAAAAAATGTACAATTTACAAACATATAAGAGTAAAGAAACTGAGCCGGGTAACAGAGTGGATATATATATAAATATATTTATATACGTTTGGTGCGGCCGATTGCAACCAAAATACGAGGTGCACATCTACATGTTATAGCAGTCCTATATACAAAATTTCAACGTTCTGAGGCTACTCGTTTTCGAGTTATGCGAGATACATACATACGCACATACGTACATAAGTTCATACCAGACGCCACGAAAAATTCTCTTCAGAATTAATTTTAAAGCAGTTTTATAATTTTTTTGAAGGAAAAGAGTCTTTTATTCTGTCCTTGCGTACAGAGATCACGCAAAAACATCGTTAAATTGCATTCGATAGCGGTCAAAATGGATATTTTCGTTGAAATATGCTGCCTGAAACTTTTCGCGATTACAATACTTCTTTTTTACTTCGTACAAGGAAGTAAAAAAAAAAAAAAAAAAAAAAAAAAAAAAAAAAAAAAAATCTCTAGAGCACGAGACTGTGTATCGGAAATTCTAAAGATATGCTCATTTTAAAATTATTTTGCGATATTGCTGTTGAATTAAATTTATGGTTTAAGTGCGAAGAACATATTTAATAAATAAAGGTAAGACACAAAACGTTAAAAAAACCTTCTGGGCTTCGAGGGAGAAAATACCTTAAAGTGTATGTGAAATTATTATTATTATTATTATTATTATATTATTATTATTATTATTTGCTCGATAGATAGCATTATTTTTACGGTTTTTGGGGCCTGCCAGCGGCTGAGCGGAGTCACTGAACCCTGGGATACTGTTCAGTTATCGGAAAGGGATTCAGAAACGTATTAATGTAGGCTCGTGTGTATGTATGTACGTATGTGCATATATATGCATATGTATACACACAGATACATTCGTGCTTATATATATGTAATAAAAATAAAGAATATGTAAAAGATTAAATTAGCAGCGTAAATTAATTTCCCTTCTCTATTCTAAAAATAGCAACATCTATTTGCACTGCATCATTTCGAGAAAAATCTATGTCATATGACTCTTACGTAATTCTGGTGATGCAAATTGGAACTAAAGCAGCCAATAATAATTTTACAGCAATATTAACTGTCCAATTAAAATGCTTTGAGAACCAAAACTGATTCAATTTGACTTAAGATATCATCCTGGATCCGCTTTGCCTTAGCTGGACTGCAATCTATCTGCTTCTTCTTTTTTGCTGCAAATCTATAAAAAAATGTAAGCCCTTTGGAACAGGCACATTTAATGTGGCGACTTGTGTGTACCCGCAACATGTTGCTGAAAATAAAGCTGAAGATTTAATCTGCCTTCGCCTCCAATTTCCTAGTTATTATGGATCAACACTTCCACGCCATCAAAATTCCTGCTCCTGAATTTATTACATATATATATATATATGCATACATGAACACATCCATCCATCCATAAATGCATACATACATAGTGTTACGAAATGTACAGGCGCGGTAATATGGCTTTCCCGCAAAGCAGTTTTAGGGTTGCCATAAAACAGCAAGAACGACAGGGTTGCCACATTTGGCGAGAAATCTTCCATTTGGCGACAAAATTGGTTATAACCAAGGACGGTTGGAGAACCTTCTGGAACGAATTCTTACCGGTTTAGCCCAGAATGTTCTCGAACACAAGCCGAAAGCTATACAAATCCTGCTGGTCCGCAGTCAGTCAGCAGAGTGTGTCTTGTCTAGCGAGCTGATAGTCAG